AAAACCAACATTGTTAACATGGCCAAGCCAGCCAGAGAGACCCTATTTCAGGACACTTCTAAGCAGGCTGCTGCATTTCCTTTGGAAGATAGGAATTTCTGACATGAAACAGCAGCTCTAGCTGCACATAACTATTCTCTGAATAACAGTAATGCTGATACCTGTTTCAGAGAGAGATGGGTAAAACTTCTCACTGCAGGATTTGGTCTTTGCACTTGTTCAGTTTGGTAATTTTCTGCCTTTTTATTCCTAACATGCAAAGCCAAAACAAAGCTACAGATTATCCCGCCTCTTTTACACTTCTGTGGGGCTGAATTAGCTGCATGGGGTACTACAGCTGTCTGTGAAAATGCAGTTATTGCCAAACATGGCCCATCTACAGCAATCTGATGTAAACAGTATGTCACACCTGCCCACACACAGTGAGCCCCATCTCCAGGCACTCTCCTGGCAGGTAGCAGCAGCAACATTCTCTTTTTCTCTGGTGAGTTCTTTGTACATACACAGAATACAAAACATGTTTTAAGGGTTCAATTAACAGAGACCTGAGTGGGTTAGTGCAGAGAGCAGTGCAATGCCAGGTACCATCACCCCCTCCTCAGGTCTGCATGATATTTAGCCACACTTGTACAGATGTCCTTGAGCCAGAACTGATCCAGCATGGCAAGATGAGCAAAAGTCCCTGTGTCCAGTAAATAATGGCCCATCTTTGCATCAGGTAATGCCTTCCCAGCAATCTGAGTTACTAATTGACTCACCTTCTCATCAATTAAAAACCAGTAGTAGACAATGGGCTTAAAACAAACCGGTAAATGGAAATTTAATAAAAATATTGAAGTGTCACTGGGTTGCTGTCCTCAGGTCAGAGCAACAAGCCAGCACGTTGCGGCTGGAATGAGAAATCTCCTTCTAGGAGGCTCACCTGAGAGGCTGGCACCCTTTGCATTCAGCTGAATATGAAATATGAATATGAAATAGTCAAGGTACCAGCTTCCCAAGGTAAAAAATCTTCTTGTATAGGGAATGTATCCCTCCAATTTCACGAGGTTGACATTTACTAAAAAAGATGTGTTATGCAAGAAGCCATTAGGATGTTTTAGCCTTCAAAGTCTATGCCCAGATGGTAACACTTGCCTTCATCCCCGAGAGGCTCTCTGAGGACAGGCCAGCATTGGGGGGGGGGCTCTCCTAAGTAGGAATCTTAGTTTTCAAATGAGAGTGATGGAAACGATCCTTAAAAGGCAATCTACAGAAGCAAAAGGCCTCTGCTATCTTTATATAATATCAAAAGTGCTTTGTTAATGTAAAGGACTTGGGTACAGGATGTATTTTAGCCTTGGAAGTGTCATCCCAGTGCCCCGCTGGGGTGTGCCGGTGTCAGGAGTTGGCTGCACACTCCAGCAGCAGACGCGGCGAGGAAACCCGCACTGAAGCCGAACACCCGCGTACCTTCTCCTCGTAATTTGGAAGCTTGTCTTTATGTATGGTCACTATATCCATCCAAGAATAATTTTCTGCTCTCCGGATCTCTTTCAGGCATGGATCAGTCTCATAATTATCAGCATCCAACTAAAAACCAGGCGAGGGGAATGAAAGACAAAAAAACAAACATTCGGACGCCATTGCTCAACACGCAATTCAGGGCACTGGCGGGACCCCCGAGGTGTCTTGAGCGCCTGTCGCCCTAGGGCGGGGCTGCCTCAGGGACACTGGGTACCTGCACCCGGGCCTCCCCTCCGCCGGGCGACACGTCCCAGCGGCCGCGCTCGCTGCCCGATCCCCGCCGGGCCAGCCCCGATCCCCTCGGGCTCTCCCCGCCCGTACCCGGCGGTACACGACGCCGAGGCGGCGCAGCTGCTCCAGGCTGACGGCGCGGTTCGGCTGCTGCCGGTGGGGTGCCCGCTGGTCCTCCTGGGACTCATCCATGTACCAGGCCTGCACCATCCCGCCGCCGGACCGCTCCGCCGGGCCGCGCCGGGATAGGGAAGAGCCCGCCTCGCGGGGCTCCAAGGCCGGGCAGGGAGCGGGACGGACCCGCCCCGCGGCCTGTGGGAGAGCCTTAAAGGGCACCCTTGGCAGCTCAAAACATGCGGAATAGGGTGCATTGCGTAGCGTGCAGCTTTCGTTTTGGTGTACAGCTTCAGGCAGGGGTAGAAAAGGTCTCCCCGAGCGAGGAGGTGTCTCACCAGCCCCCCGGGGTAACGTGCTGGCTGCAGCCCCGACCCAGCAGTGACAGTGTTTGCATCTTGTCTGCTCTGGCCACAATCTTCTGACTGAACTTACTGGTAAGACTCAAAGACCTGCATTGCAACCCCACAACATGGAAAAATAAAAAATTAATTAGGGGGAAAAAAAAGGAAAAAACGGTAAATAAACCAACAGCCAGCAAAACGCAATATAAAGATGGACAAACAACTGAAAAACAATCCCTCCTTGGTATTTTTTCTTCCTAAAACGAGTTTTATACTTACAAAGTGTCTTAACCACTACTATTCAGATTCTTATGAAAGGTAACAGATCCTTTTAATGTATAGTATTCACGTTTAAGCACTGCAGGTTATCAAGCAGGTCCTCCTAGAAGCTGTGCTAGGGCACATGGAAGACAGGGAAATGATTTGAGACAGGCAGCATGGCTTTCACCAAGGCAAGTCCTGCCTGACCAACCCAGTGGCCTCCTATGGGGGGGTGACTACATCAGTGTACAAAATACAGATGCCATCTATCTGAATTCTGTAGAGCCTTTGACATGATCCTCCAAAACCTTCTCTCTAAATTGGTGAGAGATGGATTTGAGTGGTGGACTCTTAATCGGATAAGGAATTAGTTGGATGGTTGCATCCAGAGTAGTGGTCAATGGCTCGGAGTCCTGACTGACATCAGTGACAAGTAGTGTCCCTCAGGGGTCCATATTGGGACTGCTGTTATTTAATATCTTCATTAATTACATGGACAAAGGGATCAAGTGCACCTTCAGCAAATTTGCAGATGACACTAAGCTGAGTGGTGCAGTTGACATATCTGAAGAATAGGAGGCCATCCAGAGGGACCTGGACAAGTTCCAGAATTGGGCCCATGGGAATATCCTGAGCTTCAACAAGATCAAGTGCACCTGGGTCAGGGTAACACCCGGTATCAATCTTCAAAACAGAGTAGGTTTAGATTAGACACTAGGAAGAAATTCTTTACTGTGAGGGTGGTGAGGCACTGGAACAGGTTGCCCAGAGAATGTGTGGATTCTCCATCTCTGACAGTGCTCAAGGCCAGGTTGGTTGGGGCTGTGAGCAGCCTGGTCTAGTGGAAGATGTCTCTGCCCATGGCAGGGGGGCTGGAACTATATGATCTTTAAGGTCTCTTCTAATCCAAACCATTCTATGATTCTAGCAATTCTGGAATAAATTTAACTGCAAGTCCCATAACACTACAGATAAGCTGATCTAATGCTGGTATTCCCAACATTTTTAGAAGCACATACAAATCCAGCCAGTTCAGTGTCAATCCACTGAATGTCATGGCTGCTAACTGCCAATACCCTACTGAAGTTCTAGTGCCCTGAAAAGAATATCTTGAACTCCAACATCCTCTGTGGGCCCTCAAGCCCCTGTTAAGAAATACCATTTGCTTTCTATCCTTTAATCAGCCTAAATCTTGTAACCTTCTGCTTGACTTTCTTCTGTCCTGAATTTCCAGAGTAAGAAAAATAAACATTGGTATCAAATTAATATAAAACTCTTTCCTATTAGATTTTCTATTAGAATCTACCTATTAGATTCAGGTAATCAAGTTGCTTGAATTCAGTATTACACAGTTGTAATGACTTACCAACCACTACTTACATTTTTTCCAAAGCTTCTCTTTCAAAAAAAATATATTTCCATACAGCAAATAGTACATGTTTAGCTAAAGATGTATGATAGGCAGGTTATTAGATCCCACCTCTTCAGTACACTGCTTGTCACATTGTTCTGCCTCAACTGGAGATCTAATATGGGGTAACAGGGTATTTTCCTTCAAGCCAAACTTTTCAAGTAAATGAACACGTAACTGTGTGCATACACATGAAAGAAGCAGAGGGGAAAATCTAATGAGTGACCTCCTTACCCCTAGATGAGCTTTACTGTGCAGGTTTGGATGACAGAAAAAAAGTAAAAATCCTCACTTATTTCCTAACTACTAGCTAGCCAGTTTCTGCCTTCTACCACAATCTGTGTGACTGAATACAGAAGACCTCATACTTTGCCTCAATAGTTCTCTTGCATTATCTTTACTAAAGAACAAGCTTCTGCAGCTCTAACCATTCTGTACAGCAATTAACAAATACAAATCCACTTCAGTGACTTCAAGCTTTAAGCCCTACTATTTAATGGTACAAAGGTACCGTACAGTGAAGATGACACAGATAACACACCAAACCTGTTTGCTCTTCCTTCTATACTTGCACAAAAAAGAAAACTATGTTGATTACTGGTAATGACTCTCCCGTTCAAGTGCATATTAGCTATTCCATTAATCTCAGCATTGACTCGAAAAAATGAAGTCAAACACCTGACATCTGGTAGATCTGGAGAAGCTGATCATCTTCTATTTCAGATAAAATGGCCAATTATTACCTTTGGAACAACACTGAAGAGGAACTAACAATGCTAAAAAGAACCAGTATGCATACAAAAACCTACTTAATGGAAACAGAAAGCCAGAGACAAAGAGCTTGGACATGAAGCAGGTAGAGAGAGAACAATAAAAATTCATTGTCCAAGTTTTCTTGTGACCTGGCTTTTTACTTTGTTCATTCTATCTTGCAAAGTAAGACAAAGAAATCTACAGGTGCTGTAACTGATGTTACTGTGAGGCACACAAAGGTGAGTGTTACAAGCCCATCTGTGAGGCAGATGCTGCCACACCAGAATGCCAAAGTGGATCAGTGGACATCGCTGTGTTAGGTGACCTCTTACCAAATCAACCAAAGTCCCCCCGCCCCCAGCTATTTTGGGCTGCAATATATATGTCTGTACAAAAAAATAATTTATTTCACTAAGAGAAAAATACAGAACACTTCTATTTAATATTACTCCTTTAGAAGTCGGTCTTCATGGAGAATTCATAAGTCTACAAGAACGCTGACCCCACAGCCCTTTCCATAACATGAAATAAACACAAATATGCAATATCAATTAAATATTGTCTCAATTGTAAAACAATGCAATAGAAGAAAATGCATGTTTTTTCTTCCCAGAAGTTGGTATATATTTAGTGCTTCAGGCCAGCATAAAGTACAGTTCAAAGTTCAACTCCGAAACAATTACAGCAGCTCAAGCTGTTGCTGTCATGTTAGGCCTTTTCCTCCCACTGCAACAGTCTCTAGTCCCAGTATATCAGCACTTTTGTTTACAAGCTCCTTCTCTTGCTAGTCTATCAGCTTCTTCATTTCCTTGGAAGCCAGCATGGCCAGGAATGTGCATCTGTCAGGACAAAAGTATAGGAATATTAGATATGCAAGAAACCAAGCAGAAAGTATATACATGAAATTTGATCACACAACACCCTTTCATTCATAGTACAGCACCACCTCCTCAGAGGCCCTCACCTCACATTTAGCCCTTAAGTGTTCTTCCCAGGGATTTCCATAGTCTCTCTTCCTGAAGGAAAGTCTTGCCAAATTTTGAAGATCATCTTTATGAGAAGTAGTGAATTGGATAAGGACCACCTAACTTAGACTTTAAGAAATGCAGACGACAGCTGCAATTCAAAATTCCCAGTTTTGGAGAAGAGAAAAAAACCCTATCAGCATTCAGTACTTAAACTGAGTTAATCTTCCCTCAAAAGCCAGGAGATCTCTATTCCACTAATAGCGTTGGCAATCAGCACTCACTTAGGATACAGAAACGGGGTATTAAAAGAATCTCTCAAATTTCAGATGTTTTACCTGTTCATCCTTCAATTAGGAACTCAAAAAACTTTCAAACCTAAGCCCATCCTTGTCAGAACTAAGGGTGGTGGAAGAAGGTGAGGAATTAAAATCAAGTTTGCTATTTGACAAGATCTGAGAGGAGACAAGCATGAAGCGTGTGTGAGATGGTATTAGGTTTACACGGCAGTGTTTTGGTACCAAGTGGGTACCAACCAGGGGTTGGCTTCTGTGAAAAGACACCTAGGGCTGCCCCCATATCAGAGAGAGGCAGATCCAGACAGCTCCAAAATGAACCCACAGTTAGACACAGCAGAGCCCATCTGCAAAGCTGGTGGCTATTCTGTAAAAACATGTTCAAGAAATAGCAAAAATGCTTCACACCAGCCAGAGAGGAGTAAGAACACGTGAGAGGAACAACCCTGCAGACACCAAGGTTACTACAGAGAGGGAGGAGCTGCTCCAGGCACTGTAACAGATTCCTCTGCAGCCTGTGATGCAGCCCATGTGAGGCAGTTGTGCCCCTGAACCTCTAGAGGTCCTTGGTGGAACAGAGATCCACCTGCAGCCCATGGAGGACCCCACACCTCAGCAAATGGATTACCATAATGACGAACAGGCACACAGCGCTCCTCCTGAAACAAAACCCTTCCTGAGTTTAAGAGATTCAGGTTTAAGAAGTGTACATAAAGCAGCATCTTTTAATTATGTAAAATACTCCACGAGCAACTGAACTTAGTTGGTCTTAATTAGTCTTAGTTTTAAATTTTTACACTGTCTTCTCCTCAACAGCTAATAGGAGTAGTTATATAAAATCTAGTCAGCCTTAAAATTGGAGTCACCAACTCTGTAACAGAGAACAGCATGAGTAGAAGAGTATCTGCAGTAGATTTCCCATAGAAAAAGTAGATTAAAGATCTACATGATCCTGTTTTCTAAAGGGTAAAGACAGAAGCCCAGTAAATATTCAACTAGCAGCTGCAAAGTCAATGGTACACAGATTTATTTCTAGAATCAGTGGTCTTATAACACATTTAGGCTAAAAGTTAGAAGGAGAAGAGGGAAGATATTCCCTACAATGTTAAGCATTGATGTTAAAAGGTTACAGAAGAATACATTTTATCAGAAATACCTGTACAGAAGTTGGTTTACCTCTTTACTGGACAGCAAAGCAATTTAAAAATAGTTATTTTAAAGAGTTTTCTGTACCAATTTTTCTTAGAAGAAACACAGTTAAGGTATAGAAAACTAGAGTCAGTTTATTTGGGTAACACACTCTCAGTTTTCCCAGTTTAAACGATTTTTAACAGTTTTTAACTGTGATTGAGTTACTCCAATGAACCAGCATCTCAGAGAGTTCTGAAAAGCAAATCTAGAAATTCAGCGATGACACAAAAAGACACAGTTATGTTTTAAAGTCAGATTTTCAGGAACAGAAGTTTCATCTGCTACCAGCATTAACAAACTAAAAATAACTATGGCAGGCATTTTCTAAGTAGTAATAAGAGATAGAAAACAAATATAAACATTCCTTTAAATAAATGAAATACTGGTTCCAAGAGTCTAGAATATGTTGCTAATTTGCTTTAAAACAAAAAGCAGCTTCCCTGTATTTATGGTTTTATCTATGGATATACAATATTATGCTCTAGAAAATTCTTAGTTATGGTCATACTTATAAGGTTTTAAAAGATGTGTGTTTGTCATTAAAAATAAGAAATGAGGAACTTACCCATTGAATTTCTATGTCTTTTGATAGCTTATCAAGTCTTTCAAAATCTTCTTTATTTATTACACTTCCTCCTGAACTTGTTCTCCAGCCATTTGTCTTCCAGTTGTCAACCCAACTTGTAATACCTATGCAAAGGGAGCATCACCATAAAAATGCTATTAAGGAAGCCAGCAAGGATCAAGATGGAGCCAATAGCCTTTTAATAAGACAATAACTCTATAAAAGTCTCAGGCAAAGACAGCGAAGATAGAAGATATTCTTGTTTGGTTCTCTATTGCTGTCTTTCAGGACTGTATTTTTCCATTATCAATTGAATTACCGAAACATGTTTTCCCAAACAGGTATTTAATCTAAAAACTACAATCTTATACATGCATTACACCAAAATTATCTCATGAACTTCAGTCAACTGAAGCTAAAGATATGCTCAATGGTACAGTAAGCTAGAACAGATCTGCTGCTTTGTTTGTTTAGAGAAATTGAGGAGACACATGCATAGGGGAAAAACAGATGGCCAGCTGTTTTATGGCTTTTGTACACTAAAAAGAATCCTTCAGAGAAGGACCAGGTAAGCAGAGTTCTACAGAACTTAACATTCTGTCCCTCCCTTGCTGGCCAGAAAATTTACTATATTACTCCTTATATAAGGATCCTTTTTTATTTTTCTCTAAGATCTTTGCTGGTGTGGACAATGTAAGACACTCTTACTGTTTTTATGACAAGCTGACCTGAACCAAATAGGAAGTCACCAATCTTGCAAACAAAACCTCCTAAAAACCAAACCACATCCATTTGTATTTAACCACAAGCCTCCTTCTCCAGCATTTTAAAAAATAACTCTTAGACACATTTGCAGAATAACTTCAGTTAAACAAGAATGGAACCTGCACCTCAGTGACCCAGAATGCAAGAGCAAACTGCAAGCAAAAACAAAGAGTAGAAGTACAACATTTAATTTTTAATCAAAAGTTTTTGTTTAATGTTATTTCAAAAAAAACCCACAAAATAAAACCTCCAAAGTGATCTGAAAACAGAAAACACATGTACTCCCTTTGTAAAATTGTGACATACAAAGAAAAAATACATATGCAGTTCACATTATCGCGGGAGCAAAATCTGAAGATCTCGAGTATAGATGGAATATAGAAGAAAGAGGAAGAAGTTTTATTCAGAAATTAAATCTTATTGGCTGCTTCATATGGTATTTATAAGGAATAAAATTAAATTTTCCAAGTCTTTGGATAAAGGTGAAACTTTCAGTACCTACTCTGAGCACATATCATCTCTGGCTAGTCTGCCAGTGTAGCCTAAAAGCTTGGAAGCAAGGGAACTTCAACATGTGTGTTAAGACAGCCTCTCCAATCCAAGCAAAACAATAAGAAACCTACAGGGTTACTACACCAACTTCCAAGTAATCTCCTGAGAACAGCCTTAACAGTGTATACAGGAATGACACTTTTTCTAGACCTTGTGTCATACTGAACATCTCAAGACAAAAATCCTGTGGCTACTTCTGTCAGCCTTTACTGTAACAGGCACTTTGACGCTACTCGTAATTCACGCAGGCAATGCCTGAGGACTCTTAAGTATTTCCCCAAGCAGTTATGAGCGCTAAGTTATACATTCTGTCCTTATATCCCTCTCTCCAGGACTCAGCATGTTCCGTGGGCCTTATGTAATGAAAGAGAAAGCAGTGTGTCTTCAAGTATCAGGAAAAATAAAATAACTCACCATTAATAGTGAACTTGCTATCAGTGTAGATGATCAGTTTCTTGATGTTTTGACTCTTGGCTTGCTCTATCGCTTTGCAGGCTGCCTTAGGAATGTTTCAATACAGTCACAGTTGAGAACAGGATTTTGACCACATGCAATTAAAATACCAACAAAGTACCTGATGCCAACACAGAACTATGAAGAGTATTACTGCAATCTCCCTACCAACGGTTACCAACATGCTTTAGAGTAGAGGATCCAAAATTATGCATGCAGATGACACCTTTATGATTCAGGCAAAGAGGCAAGTTTTTAAGTTGCACTGGCAAAAAACCCACAAAACATTCGGATGTTCAACTCTGTGCCAAAGGAACAGCTCTCTGCTCCATTTTCCAACACAACCTCTATCAACTGCACACCAAGTTTTAGGCATTTTCTCCTTAGCTAGGAGGAAGGATTCGCATCGGTTCCAACAGTCTGGAACTCTTAACAGGTTGGGGGTTTTATTTGGTGCTCTGAAATATAACAGGAAGACATGGCTGGGTGAGGATGTAGAGGTGAAAAGCTCTTTAGTGACAAGTCTGACTGCTGGCACACCAACACCACCTCTACTTGTCTCTCACTAAAATTAACTTCTTGTACTTTTAAGATCAATTCCCCATTTGAGTTCTTTCCCAAACTTGTAGTGTGGGATAGTAGCAGTACCATAATTAAAAGGAGGTGAGAAGGGAAGACTAAATCTGCTGTTGCCAACAGAAGTTAGTCAGAACTAGAACCCTAGAATTGTGTGTTATATTTATCTGAGGATTATGACACTCTGATCCTATCATCCTCAGAAGCTGATTCTCCCCTTAACCTCTGCTCAGCAGCCCTTACTCCAAAGTCTGAAACATGCACATTAAAAATGCAAGGCAATCTATACATATTTGAGCCAGGCTTTCCTAATGTTAGGCTGTTTTAAATAGCTGTGCTTGATGACATTTGGGAATTCTCAAGGTGAATTACCTTGTTCAAAACCAATAAAGACCAATAAAACTTGAAGAGAACTATGTCTTTCAAGTCATAACTCTGGATACTTTGTGTACTTCCCTCGCCACTCCATAACCAGCTTCTGAAGATCAGAGTTGAAACAGTGATGAGTGTGCTACTGCAATCTAAGGTGGAGAAGCATTTCAGAACATTTACTACTTACATGTATTTCTGCTCTTTGATTAGTCTGCCGTCCAGGAAGTCTTTCACTGGTATTTCTGTGTCCAAGGAATGAATAGTAGATTAGTTACCCCAAATATTCACAAGAGTGGATAATGACTACACATTAAAAAAGTAAATACAAGAGAGACACTTTTCTTTTTGTAAAGGAGGATGAATATAGTCTAGCTCTAGCTTCCACCTGCACAGAGCAATCTGCACATTTGGACCTGCCATCAATATGCAATTACATTCATAGTCTTCCGTGCACATGTACTTCTATTTTAAAACTTTCTGCATTACTCGAATTATAGCTTCAGCCCCATAAAATATTATTTCCAGTTGATTTTTCCCAGAAATGATGATTTCTCTTTTCCCCTCAGCAACTCATTAGTCTGAGAACACTGCCATTGAGTCTCAACAGCAGAGTTTCATATTTAAAAGGAGGCTAGTATTGTAAAAAAAAAAAAAGAATCTATCCAGCTACTTACAAAGGGTGGCCTGGTCCCCAGTAGACACCTATTCCAGCACGTGCCCTATTACGTCCATTACCTGAGCAACAACCATCTGTATAAACAACTACAAAGTCACCTACAAAAAAATGACCAAAATCAGAAGTTCAAGCACCTCTTCAAGGACACAGACTCTTTTAAGCTGAAAGAAATGTCTGCTGGCACATTAAACCCCAAAAGTTCCCTTCCCAGAGAGCCCTTCCGAAAGTTAACTACAGAAGCCAGGTGAATTAGTGCAGAAAACCAGAAGTTCCACTGCAGCTTCACACCCTCACTGCTGTCAAACCAGTCAGCCTTAAAACAGCTTCTGTCCCAAGTCCCATACTTCTCACAATAGTCCCTGTCTTCTTCAGCCAACCTCAGAAGTTCCAAGCTACGTCTGTATACTTAAATACAGTCTGTAACCCAGACACGCATAAGATCACACCTATAATGATATAATTAAACTGTATCTTGATTCCAGTTGAAGCCAATTAAAATTACACTGAAAGACAATGTGAAATAGTAGATTACGGTTCACATTTCCATTTTAAAAAGAAACAGTGGGCCTAATGCTGCCATACAGAAACCTCCCTGAAAGCTTTCTAATAGTTACACTTGTTGCTTATGAAAGAGTGCAAAGAAATTAAAAGAATTAAAGGACTTATCAAAGACCTCACCCATATATGAAAATTTATCTTCACTGACTGTTGGTGTTGAGTATGTTGAGAATAATTCATCATGTTTTACACGCTTAGCAACCTGTTCTTCATTTGTAGACTGCTCATATGGCCTTTTGCACGTACTGCAACACAAGGATTTTAGTTCCTCTCTCTGGCTACCATTTTCCTGTGTTACAGCTGGAAGACAAAGTGCACCTTCCAAAAAACAAAAAAGATAGAAAGTTCAACACATACAATATGCAGTTTTATTTGGACTAGTTCTAAAGACAACAGTGGTTATCATCTCTTAGCAATGTTACTCTGTTACCTGACACCACCCCGAGCTATCAGGAAAAAAAGTACTATAGAATACAGCAGTCATTCTTCATCCTAGATCAAACGGAAGAGGAGACACACACATGCAACGGCCCTTAAGACAGACACGGTACAAGCACTGTTGTCCAAGCAGCCACAGAAACACCTTCGCTGCACTGGTACATCCATCGCCGTGTCGGTACCGCCAGTGACAGGACGAGCAGGAGCCGGTGCCGGCAGAGCGGCCGTGCAGCCCGGGCGGGCCGGGCCCTGTCCCGCTCCCGCCCCTCCCTCAGCCCCGGCAGGACGCGGTACCTGCCAGCTCGGGCTGGGGCTGCTGCTGCCCCGAGAGCCCGCCGCGCACGAAGGCCCAGGCGTCCTTCTCGCTGGCGAACTTCTTGAAGCTGGCGGAGGGGAACTTGTTCACCTGCTCCTGGCATTCCGCCCTGAAACAGAGCGGGCGGCGGTGAGGCGCGGCCGGGCCGGGCCGGGCGGAGCGGGCTCCCGGCGCGACCGTCGCTCACCAGGTGCGGTAGACGCCGGTGCGGCGGCCCGAGCGCACCGCGTAGAACATGGAGCCGGCCTTGGTGGCGAAGCAGGGGCTGAGCAGGGCCACGAACCAGCGCAGCATCACGGCCCCGCCGCCATCCGCCCGCCCGGCCGGCACCGCCGCGCCTGCGCGTCACGGGAGCGCTGAGGGATCCTACGGGCCGGCGGGGAGGACAAAGTAGCGGAAAGGCCCAGGGCGTGGGTTTTGTCCGGGCTTGCTTTTTCTTTGTTTTTGTTCCCTCCCCCCCGACAATAGCTGTATTTTACAATCCTAAGTCAGCTGTTGTTTTGGAGGTGGGTCACGAGGTGTGTGAGATCGCAGCGGTTTAAGCAAACAACCTCATTCTGGAAGTCCCAGTTGTTAAAAGGCGAATGGGATCTCACAGGTGCGTCAATATGCGTAGCATGGTCCAAAAGTCGGAGGCTGAACAAAGGCATTAAGCGGGTTCTTATCCTGCTGTTCAAATCAAGGGCTCCAGGAAAGCGTGTTCCAGCCGAGTCTTGTGCCGAGATGGCCCCTGAAGTGAGGAGAAACACCTTCACAGAATCACAGGATCATTAGGGTTGGGAGGGACCTCTGGAGATCATCCAGTTCAACCCCTGCTGAGGCAGGGTCTCCTGGAACAGGTGACACAGGAACACTTCCAGGTGTGTGTTGAATGTCTCCAGAGAGGGAGACTCCGCAACTTCCCTAGGCAGCCTGTTCAGTTCTCTACCACCCTCCATCTAAAGTTCTTCCTCATGTTAAGGTGAAACTTCTTGTGTTTTAGTTTACAGGCATTGCTCCTTTTCCTGTTGCTGAGCACCACTAAAAATGGTCTGGTACTATCCTCTTGGAGGATGTGAGATATTAACGTGCATTAATGAGATGCTTGTCCAAGCAAGTTGAAGTTCCACTGTGGGCAGCTGCAACCTACACCACGTATCCTTGTATCTGGAGTGCAGTGTGCCAGGAGACCAAAGTGGGTAGGTCTGGGTATGTGCCAAATTCAGCGTCTCAACTGAGCTGCTGGCGAGATCAAAGTAGCGAAGATGGGGGCACTGGTATGGTTGCCTCCAGAAACAGGCCAGTGCATATGTGCGGCTGGATTTCCATTGTAGCCCCAATAGAGATGCACTAAAAAGCTGACCACAGTGTGCCAGAGCTGCAGAGTGCTGTATTCAGATTCACAAGGGTAGCCCGGTAAAATGCCAAGAATGTGAAACACTGGCCTGGTTCATTTTGCCTTCAGTTGTGAAAACAGCAAATTGGTTCAACATTACTGTGTGTATCAGCTGGATGATGCTTCTTTAAAAAAAAAAAACAACAAAAAACAAAACTCTGCATCTCTTTTCCCCCATGGCGTGGGGCGGCCCAGTTCTAGTTCCATTTCCATTTGAGGAACCATTTCTGACGGCTTAAGTGGACGGGAGGGGACTCCAGCGCCAGGGGTTTCTTCAGGTCCTGAGCCTGGAGGGGAGAGGTGCTCTCCCCTCCTCCCACTCACGTGGCTCCATGGCTGGCACAGAGACAGCACACGGGCGTGGAGAGGAGGCAAGAGAGCGTTTATTATGGGGGATGTTACATTTATAGGGTTAGAAGGACTCACAGAGTAACCAATTAGAAGTCTCAAGGGGCTTACAGGAACACCCAATCACAGGAAGGGGTTGACAAGGTCCAATGAGAACACCTTAGGACATCTTCCCAGGACATTCCTGCATGGGATAACACTTGTCGTGGGGGGTCTTGGGAAGAAGAAAGCATGAGTTAGCAAAGAGACTACAAAAAGCCATTTTGAAACATGTTTAAACCACAGTTTTCTCATATACTGCAGATTTCCTGCCACACAAAACCAAAGAGTTTATGCGTTTGAGAGGCCTTGGTGGAATACAGAAACAATGTGGTCAGGGCTGTATCTGAATATAATTACTGCATTTTTCTTGCTTCCTCCAACATGTTCACGAGACTTCATATTACTCTTACGAAATGTTTATGTCTGCTTTTCTCAGATCAAGATTATTTACACCAGTTGTCTCTGTAAAGGTCTCCACTGAGACTTCTCACTACTTCCTGCCTGTGATATTTTTATTTTATTGCTCTTGGTTAGCTTTTCTTTTAATTATGGTTTTCTATAATAGAAGGATTTCTTATTCCTTACAGGTTTGCACATTTTCATTACTCGTAGTTTTCTTTGGTTAACACATACTAAAGGAGCAACGAGCAGTAAGTCATGGGAGAAATAAGCAGAAAGAAAAGACTTTCTGTTACACTCATTCTCTGTTTACATGAAAGGACTTAACAGTAACTCTCCTACTGTCATGACCAACATGCAGAACTCAGATTCAAACTGGGGAAAAAAAAGAAGACTTTTGAAGTCCACTGAGTACCACACCCCCCTTTTCATTGCTTATTCTCCCAGCTGGTAAAACTGAGGCTGCATAGGGTCATCCAGCCCTACCTTTACTGTTGCATCTCCATTGCTGATTTTTTGGGGCTGCTGTGCTGCAGTGGCAGGAGAGATGAATTCCTTTCCTCATATGACAGGTGGCATTTTTGCTACAGTGGCATTTAGCACTGCTAGGCTAAGCCATACCTGTGCTTGCTTTGTGGTACTTGCTCTCTGGTTGCTGTAGCACTGGTGTACTTGGGGGTTTTCTAGTCAGCCTGGGCCAGAGAGGATGTTTTGAGCTCTCTAACTCAGTTTTTTTGAAGTGGGTATGAAGACTTGCCAAGAAGTGAACTATTTAGTTCCCACCTGCAAAGCGGAAGCACTCAGTCACAAAAAGTCTCATTTGAATATAGAATAATGTAATTATATGTACAGATAGGACTTTAAGCAGGTTTTGTAAATGATTTAACATTTGTAGTCAATGTCACACTAACACAGGGCAACCTTGTGTAGCCACTGCAGAATAAGCTAATCAGATACACAAATCCAGCCAATTTTTGCCAAATCAAAGTTTACACAAGCACTTGTGCTACCACAGCTTAAGTGCTGCAAATGAGTGGCTAAGGGAAAAAAAAGGAGAGCAAGTGCCCCTGTTTTGGTGGAAACATGGTGGCACCATGTTGAATGAGAGTGGCCATTGAGCTATGCATGCCAGTCATGTTTTACAGTTTATAAGGGTCCCATGTTTCTCTCCCACACTAAAATCAAAACTAGTTTATTAATTTATTAACAAATTTTCTTAGCAGCCATTTCTGTATTTATAATAGACAGTCTGCAGGAAAAAAGGAGGACTTAATATTATGTATACAAAAATACACTCATCACTTTTAAGTAGGGGCGTGTGTCTGTAACAACATTTTTACTTAAACTCACTGTAAATCTTAGCTGATTACTTTGTCCCACATTAATGCATGCAATGTACACATTGGCAAAGCATTTTAATCTTTGACAAATATTTTAGTTGAAATGTTTAACCATAATGTGGTTCCCCACATACAGTTTTAAAGCAAAATTTGATGTGACCTGAATCAAGCGTTTCCTATTTAAAACTGAGCTTTCAGCTGGGTAGGTCACTAAGTAGTCACTTTATTTAGCACACTCTGCAAATGTAAGTTATATTGCCATCTCATTACCTTGACTGAAAATATAAGACAGGAAAATAAGGTGTTTTGTCTTCCTTCTCAGAACTGAAATCTTGCAGAACAAAATACTTGCCCACACTTCAGTGTAAAACTAAGTGTCAGTGAAGCTGCAAAGCAGTAACCCCCCAGCATGATCCCAGCCTTCAGTCAACCCTCAGAGGAACAGCCTATCCATGAGCTTTAGAACCTGTGTGGTTGTACAAGCCTTGTTCAGAGAAGTGAACTAGTAATAGACTCAGTTTTTCTTCCAGTTCTGGAGTTACTATGACCCCAACAAGCCTTGCCATCTTTCTGTTTCTTCCATGTATTATATTACTTATTATTATATTCATAACATCACAAGACCTTATCCTATTGTTGTTGGGATACTTTTGTTACATACCTAATTTATTCTTTCCACTTCTTCACCCTGCCCATTCTGAGTCTGCATGGCATAAGAATCTTATTAATTATGTTACTTTGCACTGACATAACTTTTTTTTAAAGATCACATGCCCACAGTGATTCTTGAAAATCACTGTCAGCTGCTTTGGGTACCAGGCATTATTGACCAGGTAAAGCCCACACAGACCTTGACACTGCATCCTCCTAATGTAAATTCAGTGTCTGAAAGGGAACATCTCTCTACACCGTCTTCTGTCATTGGTGTTTTGCAGCATCCTGGTCTATTCAGTAGCACTAATAGGTTGAGGTGGGAAGCTATAGGCACATTGCAACTTCATTAATGCTCTGAACAGTCCAGTTTTGATCTATTCACACACCACCTATTCTTTCTCCCCCTCATAACTGATTTCACAGCATAAACTGAGTGCAGACTACTGGACTGCTGAGATTATTACTTGTTACCTTTCTTATTTTTTTACCCTTCAATCAGATCCTGATCACTACTGTTTGGCAAATTTCCAGTCTCTATAGGTACTAATCCTGGCCATCAGTATGAGCTGGGCAGTTCTTCCCATTCATTGAATTCATGCTAGCAGAGAAGAGTGTCTTGGGAGAAAAATGGGAACTGAACAGTCTGCTTTTCTAGCTATCAGAAATTTAACAAAAAGCCCACAAATGTTGGAAATGTTAGAAAATATTAGAAAACATGAAAACTCAGCAGATGCTGAGGTTGCTTAGCTTGGGGTGCTGGTGGTCTTTGTCAGTTTTTTGTTTACAACAAGAGCTTATTACTCCATTATTGCATTTTATTTTTTTTTAAGTAACAGACTTCACACACACCATTACATATTAATAGTGAATGTGGTATTACAAGCTAAAGTTGACTGCTCTTAGGGTTATCCAGGGAACCTGATCACAGAAACAGTGCTCTGAACCCCACCCCTGGGTCTAACCTCTCTGGACAGTGTGTGCCAAGAGCTGCACACCTGCCTCTGACTGGGGACCCTAAATCAGCCAACAGGGAAGTGAAAAGGTGGGGATTTTTTGTCCAGGCAAGGTTTTAGCTTCACTTCAGATGCACAGCCAGGCACTTCCACCTGAATCAACACGCAAGTCACTTCTTTTGGAACTAGAGTACAGCTTGTGTGCAACCCAAGTATTATTAGAGCCTTCTTTGTTAGATAACATAGTAGATAAT